AGAAAACTTCTCATGGTTGGGCTGGGAAGGTAAACTGACTGAACTCTTGTCAATTCAAGGGAGGGAGGGAGGGACTTTCCATTAAATAGGCTTATTCTACACCCAGTAGAACAGTGTTTCTCAACCTTGACAATTTTAAGGCATGTGGACTTCAACTCCCAGAATTCCACAGCCAGCATTGCTGGCTGTGGAATTCTGGGAGTTGAAGTCCACATGCCTTAAAATTGTCAAGGTTGAGAAACACTGCGTAGAAGGTGTCTACCTATCCTATAATATCTGAGAGAGTAGGTGTGCATTAGGTTTCTTTTACAAAACAATGTTATCTAATGGGATCCTGGAGGCTTGCCTTTCCCTCCAGAAATAGCATATCCCTGAGATTCAGATGTCCCAACCCTGTTGTTCTTCCTGAAGGCCTTAAAAGCTTTTTAGCTTTGTTTTGTTTTGCTTTGTTCAGGTTCTGGGCCAGACTTTAGAATGAGCCCAATCAGTAAACAGTTTGAGTTGTTGAGTATGTTGTATTTGGCCTACGTTTCTGCTACTTTATATTTTGCTTTCATGGTGTTTATATTTAATGTTAATCTTGTTTGTGTTGTTAAGTTTATGTTAGCCACCAAAGCCATAATTTGCAAGATGGTTAAATGGATGGACAGATAGGCAGATATTGTGTGCCTTTAGCAAGCGGCTTGAGATATGACTACTACGATTGTTCTTCTGATTCATTACTTGTAGTTCAGGCTAACATCAGTAAGATGTAAGAATGTTGTCATTAATGCTGTTCTCAACATTAAGAAATGTAACCTTTCATCTGTAACTTCAATTGCTGATTTTCTAACTACTGACACGGCTGGGCAGTTTAAGAGTCAGAATGAATGAATAAAGCTGGCTAACTCGACCATTCTCCATCCTGCTGGCAGTAGAACCTCTTTACAATTAGAAAATGCAATTGACAGATCGTTAATATTCATTTGAATAGCCTTTCTGCTCTGTGTCATGCCGCATGGCCTCCTCATTATACAGCAATAACAAATTTACATAATTGGCTCCACCTTGAGTCAACTTCCAAGGGCACTGCAGAAGGAACAGACCTTTTGCAAGCTGAGCTGTCCGTTGCTGCTGGCCCCAAGAGAATACAGACATGAGGACCACGTTAGATGAGATGGAAATACCTGATCTTTATTGATTGATGATGATCAGTAGATTACAGGAGCCAACTACATCTTAAGGCAGGTTCTCTTTGAAAGCCTACCAACAACAAGAGGGTTTTTTTTCTAGATAATCTAGAAAATGTTATTGTTTCAATTTCACCTTCTCTGAGCAGTCATACCTTCTATTTTTCAACCTTTTGGTGCACAAAACCACAAGAAAACCTTTGAGGATGAGGACTGTACTGGTTTCCTTGAATTTATTTTTTGGGGGGAGGATGAGAGGAATTCTTTGCTTTTAGACTGCCTACAACTACAGGTCAAGCTATGTAGGGGAGGGCAAAGATGCAAGCAAATTGTGCTAATTCCCAAAATATTTGTTTCCTTTTGTAAAATCATTTAGTATATCACCACAGAGGCAGAGTCTCAAAGGTGCTTTGTGGTTGTTGTTTTTTCTTTGAAAACATTTTGCTTCTCATCTAAGCCTGTCCCAAAGGTTCTTTCTTTCAAAAGGCAACTGGACCTTCTTGTTTTTCTTGAAGATGTTTCACTTCTCATCCAAGAAGCTTCTTCAGTTCTGACTGCATGGTGGAGAACTGAAGAAGTTTCTTGGATGAGAAGTGAAATGTCTTCAAGCAAAACAAGAAAGTCCAGTTGCCTTTTGAAAGAAAGCACCTTTGGGACAACCATGACCTGGATGACTGAGAATCTCCATAGACATTCTCATCTGAGAAGTTCTAACTGAGGCAGGGATTACACCACACTCTAAACACTTAGTACTGTTGTAGTCACAAAACATGCTACGCCCACATAAATAATCCATATTATAGCTTAAAATGAAACCTCAGAATAGATTTCTCCTGCAGCATCTATTGATTGCTCCCTCTCACATCATTCCACATTCACCAGATAGATCGTGCAGATGGGAATGGGCTGAAATGAGAGGATAGGGATCTCTCCCAGTGGTCCTCACAACCCTTATAACAATTAGACTATTTCTGAAGACTTGTGTAGTGCTCTTCTGGAAGAACCATAAATCCTACAAGAACATCCTAGTTATTCTGTGTATGTGGCATTAGGACACGGCATAAGGCAGGATAAAGAGTTCCCGGTGCAGACATAGGTATAATCTACACAGGTTGAGGATGAAGAGCTTGAAATCCTGAAGACACTTCCAACTGATGGTTTTTCGGCTAGTTTAAAAGCAGCTCCTGATTTCTGTCACCACATGATGACAACAGAATAGTCAAAAAAAACATTGCAAGCTTCTGCAAGGCTTTGAAATGTTTCCCTTTTTTGAAAGGAACTGTTATCCACCTCCCATTCCTAACAAGACCTTTAGAGGGAATAAATTGGCTTAATAATTTCTACCCTTCAATAGTCCTGATAAAATAAAGTGGGTGAGGTTGACAGATTGGTCAGTTTCCTCCTTTTCTTTGACAAAGGACCAGGAATTACAAAGGGCCAGGTTGCTTTGCTTGTTCTTTCCCTTTTTATAGATCTCTTTTTCTCTTTCTCCAATCCTTTATTTGATACAGCTCAGGTTCAGGAAGTGATGGTCATTCCTTGTTGTTTGACTCCAAGAAGTAAAGACAATTGCTGATAATTTTCAACTCTATCTGAGAGATCACCAAGTGAAAAAGATCATGGTGCACAAATGCCCTCAATTATTGACATTCACTCAAGTGGTGATACTTAATACGTACTCCAGAAAATCCCAGTTGAAAAATAAGGCCTGTTATTTCTCGTAATGGTGACAGAGAAGACCTTTTCTGACTCTAACCATATTGTTCGAGCATCTTCTCACTACAGAGCTAATTCATCACAAATAATCATTTAAAGAGGTTGTTAGTATCTAACAGAAACCAATTATGAGATGGCAACCAGGGCTGGCAATTCCCTTTCATTCAAAGGGAATTGAATTCACAGTAAGAGGTTATTAAAAGCCAAGTGTGATCAACCCCACTTTCCTTTTTCATGCCCAGATTGCTGAACATTTGCAACCATGCTAGTATTTCTAAAAGCAATTGTTTTCTCTGTTAGCAGTTGGTTTAGCTGCCTTATCACAGTACACAAGCTATTGTTTTCATCATGTTTGGGTTTGTTTGTTTTTTTGCATTTCCACAGACATGAGTTTAGATAAACAATCTATCCAGAGTGACAGATAATCCTAAGATTTTATTTGATTTGATGCACTCATTTAGAAAAATATTTATAGTGCTTTTACATAACTTTGTTAAAAGTCCTTCTGAAATTGGTGGTATATACATAATGAATATACATAAATAATTATTTTTTAAAAAATAAGGATACTGCAAAATCCATCATTTGATAGCACTGTTTTTGAACATACATGTTTCTGAGTTCTCTAGAATTCTTTATCGGGCAAAGTGGTACAAAGAGCAGAAACCCTATTTTTGTTTTAGAGAGGTAATAAGCATTTCAGATATGGATTCTTATGTGTGAACGCTTGGAGAATCAGTACCAAAGAAAATACATTTTTCCTTGTAGACACTAAAGGAGAGAAGTACTAATGTGGGATTGATTCCAAGAAACAATCCTCCAATCCATAGCCAGGACCAGGTACAATCAGTATTCAACAATGTTTATAGGAGCACAAACTTGAACATTGGTTTCAAATGGTTGCAAAGATTACCGTGGTTTAGTTTTTCAAGATACCTCCTCGGGAAACAATACCATTAGTGACAAATAGACTTTATCACCTCATCATTCCCCTGAATTAAATGTTTTATGTCTCTTCAAACTTTTAAGAAAGAAAGAAAACTATTTTAATTCAAATTAGACAAGCTGATATCCTCCATCTATTTTACAGAGTGGTGCAGGTGGTACAGTGGTTAGAATGCAGTATTGCAGGCTGACTCTGCCCACTGCCAGGAATTTGATTCTGACCAGCTGAAGGTTGACTCAGCATTCCATCTTTCCGAGGTCGGTAATATGAGGATCCAGATTGTTGGGGGCAATATGCTGACTCTGTAAATCTCTTAGAGTGCTGTAAAGCACTGTGAAGTGGTATTTAAGTCTAAATGCTATGCTATTGCTATTGCTGGACTGTAGTTTTCACAACCCCATATGACTGGGCACACAACTAGATTTGAAAATTCTTGAAGGTATCCTGGGGTGGCTGTTCTTATTAATAATCACTATCAAAAGCAACACAGCCTGAGCATCTGGCTTCTGAGAACTCTGCATATAGAATTTCTTCTCCATGATTAAATCCACAAAAAAATGAGCAGGACTAAGCCAAAAACAACAATTTTAACACTTCAGATTGGACCAGAACAAAAATTCAAAAGCTTTAGCATATTGAAAGATTGATGGCATTTGCTCCCCAAGATCCTAGGAAGCAATTGAACAATTCCATTTTGAATGCAAGTTCTGATCAGTCTTCAATGGCCACTATTCATATAACAGGAGACTGATTTGAAACTGTCTCCTATTTCTACCACTACTACTATTAGATTATCACTATCTGTCAGATTATGAGTAAAAATTCTGGGTGAATTTATAGCGAAGACCAAATCCAAATAGATGTCTTGATTTCTGAATTAGTCAGTAAACCTGTAGGATTTAAGGAAAGCCATAAAGAATTTCCAAGAAAGGAAATCAGAAGGAATATAACATATTTTAATTGCCATCTCTATTGCAGCTAGGGATTCTGAAACTTATTCTTTGTAAATTAAGTCATATGTCTAACAAAAAGCAGAAATGGAATTATTTAAAAAATAATTTTCTGTAATATATCCTTTTGACTTTCTTCACCAAAGATTATGATTTGTACCTTTGCTCCCATTCAAAAAGTGAGGCATATTACTAACTGTCCTTGTTTCCTCCCTACAGATCTGTGTAATGGAGTGTGAAGGGAAATTGTTTTCCAGTGCTACCTGGGGACTCTGCCATAAAGCCATCATTGGAAAAGATTCTTTGTCCCTAGACCATAGTAGCCTGGAAGAAATGAAATGGCCACTGGAGATGTGGGATGGCAGCCTGAAAGGAGGCAGAAGTAACCTGAAACATCATGGTGACCTGACCAGAATGGTGGATCTCAGCAATGGGGAAGATAAGCAAGTGTCCAAATGGAGTGATCTCATCCGTCAGCGAAAGGCAGAAGACGACACGAGTGATGGAAGCCAAACTCCACCTGGGGATTTACGTGATCAGCTCAAGATTCCCAAGAGGGCGGGCGATTTCCTGAGTGGCCCATTCAACTATGGGCAGATGGAAGAACCTGAGGTGCAAGAGCTCCAAAAACGATTTGGAGGCTTCATTGGTGTTCGGAAATCAGCCCGGAAATGGCACAACCAGAAAAGGTTCAGTGAATTCCTGAAGCAGTATCTGGGGATGTCCCCACGTTCCATTGAGTACGATGGCTTGGCCGATGACCTGAAGGAACAGAATGAGATTTAAACAAATGGACATTTCCTGGATTGTTGTCGTTGTTGTCGTTGTCGTTTCCTTCTCAGATTATAAACATGTTGTGAATTGATTTCAGAGCTGCCATGGCCAAAGAAGCCAACCCCCATTCGTACTATTCCGCTTTGTCAATGATCAGCCAACCAATCTTAGCATCTGAAGGGAAGTCTATTTTCTTTGAAATAAAATTCAGAATTGCTTTGTGTAATAATATTTCACAATTTTTACATTTATATGAATAAAATTTAAAAAGAAATCTACATTTAGTATGATAACATGTTAGAGAGCAGGTAATGGTAACTCTTTCCTTCTATTATATTACCTTTCTATGTTTAGGAAAAATCATTTCCATTGGGGAAGTAGGCTTTCAAAAAATGCAGCCTTCATTCTCGCCAGCAGTGTCCTTGGGTCCAGTTCACAATCCTACCAGCCTATTCCTTAGACAGAAGACCAAGTTTTGCTTCTTTGCATTTATCCTTGGGGTGTTTTTGACCACTTAGGAAAACTGGACATGAAACCAAATTCTAACTCCAGGTTTATGGCTTCAGGGTTTTCTTAGAACTGAGATTTCCCTGATACACTTCCCAGTGGGGTTGACAACTTTGATATGGCAGTGCAGTATTTGTGGATTTTTATTATCAGTTTCCCATTTTCTTTCTCTCTCCATGGCATGTATTTTGTCAAGCCTGCTGTCTCCATGCTGTCATTTTCAAAGATGTGTTTTATTAATTGCCAGGACCAGGAGCAAGTGAATTCCTCTTCACTGCTGCCTGCTAACAATTTTCAGACAAGACGCATGATCGATAAAGAAATGATGTAGCTGGCTTGGATACTTTTCCTCTGTTAATTATTGAATGTTAAATATCTAAAAAGGGGAAACAAATTCTGTTCTTTTGATTTCAGGCACAAAGATTTCTCCATTAAACTTGTACATAGCAAAAAGAAAAAGAAAAGATTAATAAATTAGTTTTCTATTTCTACTGTAGCATTGTGATCGACACACTTTCAATGGCTATATGCTTTCTCATCACCACTGAAAGCTTCAGTTGCACAGCTTATAAAAATATGAGTTTCCAATGTTAAAATCTGGGCCATATTTAGACTGCAAAAAATCTGGAGGACCACCAGATGGTAGTAAAGATACAGAGGAAAATATTTCCATTTAGAAGTCATCTAGGTTTTTACAGCCCATAACTAAAAAAAAAAACTTTCATTAATTTAATGCTCACCAAATGTACTGAACTTCCAATATCCAACCTAGCAAAATGGTGCTAATTAGGAATTCAATGAGATGTAGACTTGCATATTTGAGGTCAACAGTTTGTGGAAAGTTGCCAGAAAACTATTTCACAGATAGCACCCATTTGAGGTCCAGCTCTCCATCATTTCTGAACAAAAAACAATTTTCAAGCCAACAAATTAAGCCTGAGGGGCTGTCATTCTTGCTTGGTAGTTTATTCTCCTTTTTCCTGATTCATTGCCATCCTTGGGATCTCATCAATAATATAGGTTTGATTGCACCAGGAGCCGCTCTACTTCTTGAGTATTATGTGTGCAGGTAGAATGAACTTTTGTTAGCTCTTTAAAATAGTCTAGACAAGAAGCACAACAATGAATGTCTCTATTTTTATTGCAAGGTTAGAATAGAATAGAGCTGGAAGGGACCTTGGAGGCCTTCTATCCAGCCCCCCCCCCCCCCCCCCCCCCCCCCCCCCCCCCCCCCCCCCCCCCCCCCCCCCCGTTCAAGCAGGAGAACCTATACCATTTCAGACAAGTGACTGTCCAGTATCTTCTTAAAAACCTCCAGTGATGGAGCACCCACAATTTCTGAAGGCAAGCTGTTCCACTGGTTAATTGTCCTCACTGTTAGGAAGTTTCTCCTTAATTCCAGGTTGCTTCTCTCTTTGATCAGTTTCCAACCATTGTTTCTTGTCCTGCCCTCTGGTGCTTTGGGGAATAATTTGACCCCCCTTCTTTGTGGCAGCCTCTCAAATATTGGAATACTGCTATCATGTTCCCCCTACTCCTTTTCTTTAGATTAGCCAAACCCAAGTCCTGCAGTCATCTTCATATGTTTTAGTCTCCAGGCCTTTTTTCCAAACTCTCAACATCTTTTTTGTGATATGGTGACCAAAACTGATTGCAGTATTCCAGGTGTGCTCTCACTAGGATTTTATAAAGCAGTACTAATACTTTGTGTGATCTTGATTCTATGCCTCTGTTTATACAACCCAGGATTGTATTAGCTTCTTTGGCTGCTGCTGCACATTGCTGGCTGGTTGCGTTAAAAGACTCATGCAAGCTTGAATGTGCCGCTCCCATCCCTTTTGCTCTCCAAAAACTAAGGAGAATCCCTTCTGAGATACATTCTCCACCCTACCCCTCCTATCTCACCCTACCCCTCAACATTCATGTATTATTTTCTAGGCTACAGCTCTTTTTCCTGTCTCTCAGGGTCATTCCTATATACCATTACATCTCCTTTCAATCTTGTCTTCAATTATAGTTTTTATTTACAAAGTAAATTGTCTGAGGTAAGCCCATTTGCTAATGCAAATACGTATCATTATGTAAAAGTTTCTTTACAGAAAGACTCATATTAAGATACTTCAATCTTCTGCTCTTTTCTGAGCTTTTACTTTAATATTCCATTACTGTCTCTTTCTTTCGTTTACAAGTATATTCCCATTCCAACCTTTTCATTGCCAAAATTCATCCCTCCTCCCACTCTCCCAACATATGCAGCTGCATCTGACAATACATATTAATGTGGAACTGAATCTCTTCTGAGTAAAACCCAACATTCTAGCTCTATCTTCACAACATGCCTACCAGAGTTAAGGAGGGAGGTAGGACATTATAGAAATACTAAAAATGGATCAATTAACCTAGACAATTAATTCCCAAGGATTAGACATTGTAGAAGGAAGTGTTAGTCCATGGTGACAAAAAACCTCAGGAGTTTGGTAGCACATTTTCCAGCTAACAAAAGCTGATTCCTTTTAATAAAAGCCTGAAAAAAAGCTACAAAAGTTCTCCCACAGGTTAAAGTTAATTCAAAATAAGTTAAGTTACCACCATTCATTTTTTTAATAGAAATTTTTATTAATTTTTCAATTAAAACAACAAATACAAATGATGCCTCTATATACACCAATAAACAATAAAAATACTCAAAACATTTTCGGATACACTCGGCAGTCCCCGCCTTGCCTCCACCCTCATCCACTTTACCTCTCCTTCCTCCCCCTAAACCCACAATCTCTCCTCCTTTTCTTACCACTTCTCTACATCCCCTCCGCATTCTTAACCACCTCGTCGAGTGCAGCTTGGGGTACCAGCCGAGTATATCCTCTTATTAATACAATTCCATTATATACCTATAATAATTGAATACATCAAATATAATCTCCCCCTAATCGCCTCCCCTCCCCGACTTCCCAGAACTAACACACTCCTAA